GTACTTTAAAAAATATATACAAACAAAATAATTCCAGCAGTTGTAATATTTCTTTAAGCTTTGATTTGTTTGATTTCAACCAAAGCAAATTTCAAGCTTTAAAAAATATATGTCTTAAGATTTTTTTTTTTAATTAAGAAAAATTAGTGCAGTTAAGTGAATTTGGAAGGACTGAAATGGGCATTTTTATAAAGGGACATTGTCCTATATGATTTTTACCACTCCTAAATTACTAGAGCCATTTGCTCTCTCTAGTTGATTGATAGTGATTAGAAAGGCAGTTTTTGTTTAATAGCATTATAAAAGATAGGCATCTGGTCTGCCTTTAAAATTGCACTGGCTTGTGCTTTTTTTTTTTTTTTTTTTTTTTTTTTTTTTTATCAAATCCACATGTTTTACACTTAAAACTTTTAAAACCGTCACTTCTGCCAAAAGCTTCAAATATTTTTTATTCCATTTAAAATAAATGTGTAGTGCAGCATGTTTTCCATTCATATTTATCCTTGATTAAAATGTCCTCATTTCAAATGTGTCTGTCTGTTTGGCTTTTTTATTCAAGAAATGTCTTGATTTCATTTCATTTTAATATTTCATATTAACTGAACTAATTAGTATGTCTTTTAATACTTAATTAATCTTATGAAAATGTCAGACTACTGTGAGCCAATTGCATCCACCCCCACAAGAAATACCATAAAATACAATTGTGAAATTTCAAATGATTATAAGGTCTTGAAATTAACAGCCTTAATTATCAGTTAGTAAACACCTTCAATAAAACATGTGAATTAAAAGAAGTTTCAGGGATGGACGATTTTGCATCCTTATAAGTATAATTTGTTAATTATCAGTTAAGTTAACAATTTGTTTTAATGTCATGGGGAATGAAAATCACTTCGCTATAAGTGTCAATTCATTATAAGCATGTTTTACTTTTACTGTAATAACATTTACCTTTTTATTTGAATTTTTTAAAAAAAATTTACAAAATGGCATTGAGAACAAAATTTTATTTAGTATGATTTGGATACTCCTAAATCCAGATGGATCTTAAAAATGTCCAAGTAATCTCTCAGGAGATGAGTGAATGATATTTTCTTTCACACTTTTTCCTCAACATCTTGTTTATAGTAATCGGTAGTTTTGCCGATGATAAAAGCACCTGCTTGCTAATGTAGGTCAAGGCAAGGTCAAGTCTTGAGTTACAAAGAGTGTTCGCCTGCTTATTTTTTTGTTTAATATAAAAAAAAGCGAGGGCTCTGTAATTTCTCTCTCTCCTCATAGGGAACCTCCGAAATGTGTTGTATGGCAGCTTATTACGGTCCCTTGGGGTCCTTTCCATAAATCACACTGTCTCCACAACGACCAAGTTGTTGTCTTTTTTCCCCTATTCATCAGTTTTTTTGTGTCTGAAGCGATGCTAACTTGTGTGTCGTAATGTAGGGCACTCTGCACCCTTCAGATGTAAATGTTTTTGTATGTCAGAATATAATATTAGTAACTTAATCTACTTCATCCCCATTTAAACTGAGACTTTTTTGTTAATGTGTATGAGCTCACCTTACGCCATTTAGCTAATGGCAGACTGACAAAAAAACCCGCTGGAGCCTCAGCCATATGGTTCCCACCAATTTTTCATTCATAAAACCCAGAAATATGAATCTAGAGACTTGCCAAGGCAGATGAAAATTTAGATATCTCCTCAGAAGTTGGTTTATATAAAAAAGCACACTTATCAAGATGTGGAGTGTAGATGTGTGTGCGCAATTTAATTTAGCAAGTGGGATATTGCTCTGGGGAACCGCACCACTGCCTGTTTAAACTTTATATATAGACCACATTTAGCTCACTTGTTGAAAAACTAGAAGCACAACTCCATGTCGGTAATGAAAGCCTAATTTATACAGGGTCCTGAAATAAGCAGCAACATGATTATTCTTGAAGGCTTTCCAATGAAGTTGAGGAAGATTTGAAGGGAAATTAATTGATTTTATGTAAAACACCATTGTAAAGTCAGGCCCCAAAGACAGAAAGTCGGAATCAAGAGGAAGTTTTCACCTTGCTAAATTGCAGTGGTGGTTGTTTGTAATTGTTCTGAAATATATGGCAGGTCCTAGAGGGTGAAGTTTGCCTCTGACACAAAGGAAACAAGGGATGAGGCCAGTCACATGACTCCCAACCCAAGTCAACTTACCAAGTCTCAGAGCTTTCCCATGGACGAGAAATTAAAAAATGAAATTTTTGAACAAAGTTTGAAGCACTTCGATTATAAAGTGCCTCTACAGCGAAATGATTGTCACAAGAGGTTCTAGACATTTTTCCCATGCTCCGTAATGTTACAGCTCGTGCAGTATGACTAGAGTTTTATAATTAAATGGGGGTCTGTATATTTTGAGAGCTTACATTTAATGGTTAGATTTGAACTCTCAAATAACCAAAGGATTGTCAAAGGTACATTGGTTTATTGTAAAAGATTTTGATTTGGATTTTTTTGCACCTATTGTACATCATTTAGTAAAAAATATATAAACCATTCCTTTTGACATACATGTATTTATTTGTAACTTTCATTATTGAAACATAAGCAATTGCATGTGTACCTTGGGTGAAAGAAGATTAAAATTACAATGAAATTCTCACTAATTATTGTTTCTGAATTAAAAATGCATGTAAAACAGAAACTCAGTCCATATCTTTACTGAAGTCTCAAAATAAGGTCTTTGAAATGGAGACTGTCCACTTGATTGGATGTGGAAAACAATTCTAACTCAAAATACTCCACATATTAAAATTTAAAAAAAAATTAAGTACCACTACCACTTGAAATTAATATAAAACCTGGTTGTTGCTGCAATTCAAAAGTGTACAGTAAATGATTGGGTAAATAAAAGTGTGGTAGAAAATAAAGCTGTAAATTCTTAAAATTATCACAATTTTCAATCATGAATTGGTCTAAAATGCTAGTGGGAAAATATTACATTAAATGTTAAATCAATATATCAAAGTGGGCAATTTCTGTATAAAAATTTTGATTTCTTATTTGCATTAGATTGATAACCATCACTGTTTTTTTTTTTAATATAAAATGAGGATTGTGACAACATACTACTCTTCAATCTTCAAGACATTGTAATCTACTTGTTTTGAAACTTTTTTTGATAAACAATTTAAGGCACTTAATAATCAGAGTTTCTTTAAACCTCTGTTGATTAATGGAGATATGCAATTCCACATTTTTCTTCTTCAATTTTATTTTCAATAGAAAAAAAAGGTATTTATAGATCATGAAGTTAAAAACTTCCAAGGTTTTCAATTGATCAAAATCATAATTCTAAGCTAGTTAATGTTTGTAGAGTTAAGAACGTTAATTTAATTGATATTGATTGTTTTCTTGTAGATTTGTTCAGGGTTAGTAGATTAAGAAAACTGTTCATTAATTAATTTACATAAGAGGCATAAAATGCTTTAAAATCTAGATTTGTCAATTGAATGAGTATGGAAATTAAAGAATAAAAGCACAAATTGTGTTGCGGGAGGGGGGGGGGCTCAGTTGAAAATTACTTTAGTAGTCATTAGTACTTAGTGTGAAGATAGTACACTATAGTTAAAAGAGGGGAAGGTTGACTGAAAATCTTGTGTGTCAAGAAATTCTAAACAAGAAATATTTCATAGAGCCTCTTCAAATGTGAAGTATAAGTTTTCTTGCTAAAAAAGTTTAATTAATATTCTCATCACAGTGATACAAATCCAGTATTCTGCCTGTCCCATTCATCATGATATTTCATGCCAATACTTAACAGGCATTGATTGATTTTTCAGAGATTTTAACACAAGTGCCACCACCCTCCCCATGTCTGTCTGTACACCTCTGAATTAGAATTATGGGATGACATAGCTAGCTTTTTGTATACATCTCTATTATGAATGATTTCTCTTCTCCATGGGCTATATGTCAAGGTACAATTTGCTGCTGCTTGGAACAAAGGGTTGTCATATTTCCTAAAGGGGGAGTATTACATATTCTGGGCCAAGGCACCTAGTCAATTATCACACCTGAAATGGATTATGGCTGAAAATTGTGAAAAATATCATCATTTCATTTATTTTATGTCTCGGAGGCCCTAATTGGATGCATTTTTAGATTTAGCTGTAGATTATTAATTGATAAGGGTAGAACTACAGAGTTGAATAAATTGTCTATGTAGATAGTGGTTTAGTGCTTTGTACAAGGTGTTAACAAGCTTTGATGTGATTTGGAAATGATAAAACTTTTTACAGGATTTAATTTGTGTATACAAGTAATTTATAAAGGATATGTTAAAATGTAGTCTTCATGTAAGTAGTAATCAGGAAATCTTGACATCAAACCAAAAAAAAGTGAACTGTGAAATTAATGCAGTAAAGTTGTTTTCCCTCTTCTTTTTTCTATTTTCTGCATTCATTTGCTGGGAGTTTCCATTCATGTGGTTTAATTTTACAAGTTCACTCCAAGGATAAAACGGTAATGTAATCTGTAAGCCACTATAAATATCTTTTTGTTATAAATTATTCTCCGTTTTCTCTTCCTTATTTTAGATAGTGTTCTCTTATACAAACAGATGATTCATGTGGTGTTTTGTGGTCAAAAAGTTGTAATTGTGAGTTACAAAAAAGTCTTTGAAAAAGTCCAAAGATCACCAGATCTCTTTACAGAAGTGCTTAAAAATAGAGAAAAAGAAAAGAAATGCTGAATGTAAATGAACCTTGGGTCTATGAATGAATTTAAATTGAAAATTGACTCTGTTTAGAAAAAAAATTAAAATTGGGTCAGTAACGCTTCAAATTATATGCTGGCAGGGAAATCTTGATAAGAGGCCTTCATTCATAAAATCTGTACGCTTTACTATATAGGAGGGGCTCAAAAAGGCATTATGTAAATGAGCTTGATTTTGATTGGTGCAGGTGATTTATGGGACACTTGCCAGCAGAGAAGTTTCATTCATAAAATTAGCTGTAGTGGTTAGCCTGGTGTAAAGTTTTCCCAGGGGTTATTTTATCAATCGAGAAACTAGAACAGGTACCAAGTCATCCATGCAGCAAGCGAATGTGTAAATTGGAAATTAGAATGGAGGCAGAAAGCTTGGTTCTACAATAGCATTAGTTTGCTTAACATGGGTAAAGCATTGTGAGAACATTCAGTGCTTCCATTGAGTTTCTTCTGGTCATTCAGGTGTGCGTTTACTTTGTGAAGCAACACTGATAATCCTGAAAGGTGTATAATTACATTTGTCAAAGAAAATTCTGTTACCTTGCTAACCATGCGATATAAGGAAGGTGTTGATGTTTGAATAAGAAGAAACAGTAGAAGATTAAGAAAGCCGTCGGGACCCTTTTCTGTTGGAGCACACCTCATCAGGGCCTAATCACTCCCATTGTACCAAAGTGTGGAAGATTTTAGTACAAGGCTCAGTGGATGTCAGAATTTTTTTTTTTTTTTGAACTGCAAAGATTTGCATCTTGAAGATTTTTTTCTTGGTGTGTTTTGTGCATCTAAAGGATTGCTTGAAAAATATAGTTTTCTGTGAGTGACTTTGAACTTGGAATATCCGCAGCTTCTACTCTTCCGATAAATCCCATATGCTGTATCATGCAGACTCTTTTACATAAACCATCTCGCATGGCATGGCAAGACTTCTACATTAATTGCTCGCATTTGATGTGGATCAAAGTTTGTTAAGTACTCCAGGCCTGAGCATCAATCAGTCAAAAAAATCATTTTCCATTCATCACTGCTAAATATATTACTTCAAAAAAAAAAGATACAGTCGGAGGTGCTGCTGTACCGAAACAAAATGATAAAGGAAAAATTAGAGAGCGAGATGTTGTGCCCCCATAAGATGCAAACCAAAACTAAGAATAAGGGCATCTTTCTCCTGCCCTCTTGGCACACTAACGGTCGCCAAAGCAACGAATCTGTGAAAAATGGTAAGAATATTGCAACAATAGCTTTTGATGTTTAAGTTTGTTTTTTTTTTCAATTTTTTTTTGTGGCATATCGTTTTGCAAAGTTTAAGGGCATACTGACATGTTTTGAATACCCTATAAAGGTTTTATTGAAAAAAATTTAAAAAGCAAATACAGAGGTTTTTTGTTCCCTGTATTAATCATCCATCCACTTTACCGTAATAATACATCGCCATGTCAATTTTTATTAATATTTTATGACCCCAGGTTTATGCCTTGTCAAGAAATATGACTGGGTAAAGTTTGAAAACTTCAGAACTGAGGGGGACATCTGTATAGCACTTAGTGTGCTGCATATAGCCATCACGAGATGTCAAAAGATTAGTTTTGAATTACATTTTTATAGGTTAGGACACTGTATAATGTCTATCATAACGGCTCACAGCAAGGACGATTTATCGCCCAATAATAAAAATTTACTAAAACACAATTTCTTTTTTGTTAAAACAGAAACCACGGTGTCAAATGGGGGTCAAATAAAAATAAAATTTCATTCATTTCAAGATGTTTTTTCATGTATGCTCTCAAATCAAGAGTGAAAAAAAACAAGGAACGAACAAGGCCATAAAATTGAGAGAGTTGTCTGAAACAGGTACAAACTCAAAAATCCCTCAAGAAATGACAGCCCTGATGCAGCTGTTGTGTTGCAAAAAAAAAAAGTTATTAGGCCAGTCTTTAACCTCTATATTTTCAAATTTCTTTGCAATAATGGGTTTTATATTAACTGACCAATCATATAGAGATCAGAGAACCATGTGACTATAACAATTATTGCATTTTGTTAATTTAAATACATTTCTATCCTAAAATGATTGAAGGGAGCATGGTTAATATTTCAAAGTCAATATACTTCCTTAAAGTGAAAGGTCACCGTTTGGAAATATCGGGGGATTTATTTATTGCTAAATACCCTGACAACCAGGTGTAAGATTAAGAATTACTGATATCAAATCTTTAAACACGCAAAACAATATTTCCTAGTACATTTCAGAGTTACCTTTCATGGCAAGAGCATTATCTCCCCTTGCAGTCTTATTTTATTTTATTTTATTTTTTAATTGAATTAAAAGGGCTTGACTTTTGTTTCTCTCTATCTTAAGAAAAGAAAGAAAAGAGTTCAAGTACTTAAATTTTCTTTGTTTAAAAACATGACTGAGACTTTTTATATGCATGGACTTCCAACAAGCACATGCATGATTGAAATAGTAGATTTTTTTTAATAATTGTGCAACTTGAATCATTCTGCCCTCATTAAAAGTGGAGTGGCGTTCATTAACGTACGATTTCATACAACTCTAAATATTTTGTTCTCGGAGGCTGAAGTGTTCTATCCTGTATTTTGTCATACTTGTCAAGTGGCTAAAAGGATGTCATTACTTAACTTAGAGATATCAGATGTATTGTACTGGTTGAGTTCTTTTAAGTACTTAGTTAAGTGTATATGTACAGTAGTTTTTTTAGTATCAGTAAGTAGGATTGACTCTCAAAAATATATCCCATTGAATGAAGTCTTAAATGAAGCAAATGATTTTGAATGAAAAAAAAAAAATGGAAAAATAAATCAGTATATGTATTATATTATGTAACATTTTCTGTCCAAAAAGCTTTGAAAATTGGTTTTTCATATTTGATGATAATTTGCATTCCATAGGTAACAATTTACCTGTCCATGCAAATTTGATATCTCATTAATTAATTAATATCTTGAGATAATCATTGTAATAATATTGCATAAAATTCAAGTTACAATCAAATTTCTTCATAATAGCATTCTGTAACAATTAAATTCAAAATATAGTATTAACTTGATTTCCCTTGTTGGACTAAATTTTCTATAATCCCCAAAAGAGCAAACACCAGAGAGGCACAATATACCCTGCATAATGTAGGCTCATTTGTGGAGAGACGTGACACTTGAAAGTCACTTTAATGAATCATTTAAGGACCATTGTCATTTTAGCCAAGTCCTTTAATGTTTAATTTGTTAATTCTGTACAATTTTCAGCTTTGCTGATTTAACACTGGCAACATCTCTTTACCTGAAGTAAGGCTTGTCAGACGTCAAATTAATGGTGTTCTTCAGGTGTTTTTTTCTCTCTATCTTGTCTTGGACTGTATTTCATGTTACATAACAACTTTCAGTTTTTTTGAAGCTCTTTTGATAACTTTGGGAACAGAAACAAGAAAAAGAGAATAAAAATTTATTGGGCAATGGTGATTTTGGAAAATTCGAATTTAGCACTTTTGTTTGCATGGTTTCATTATTTAGACCATTTCTGACTTGTTATTTTTCCTTTTATCTCTGATTTTATCACAATATAAACCATTTTCTAAATTTTCATTGTATTTCCTTGTTAAAAAACAGATTAAAAAAAAGTTTAAAAAAAGAAAGTTGAGTAACAATCTTTATACAATCCAGGTGGATTACTTTGAAAATCTGCCAGTTTTCTTCTATATATTTTTTATTTTGCGAAAAAGAATAAGATATCTCCTACGCCAGGAAGATAAATTGTTATAAAAACTGTTTTTTCTGTCAGATTATGAGAACACAGTGTGCGTTGAGTGATGGATGTCGGGAAGATGATATGGGGCCCAGAATGACATTTACTATAAGTGCTTTTGTGAATGAATCTTATCAAATAAAAAAATAGCATTAAGAAAAAAAAATACAAAATTTAATGTTTTTAAGCTAAGCATACAGCAATTCAACTTTTTTGGATGATGCATAAACTATATTCTACATCATAATCTTGTTGAATGAACGAATATTTGAAAGAAGAAAAAAAATTTAAAAAGATGAATTGAATTTGGCAAGTTTTATGCCTCTGACTCAGTGCAGAAGTGGGGAGCATGTCAAGTTTCTAACAGTCGGTGCATGCAGCACACATTTTTCGCTGAAGGAACCTCAGGTCCAGCCCCCGTGGTAATAGTAAATATTTATGCCGCACAAGTCAGGTTCATATCTAGTATTAGCCACATGATGAATTCATCTGTAAATAATTTGGACAAAATTTCTCCCTTTACAAAACATCAAATACTGAGCTAAAGGGGAGAATTTTTTTTCCTAAATATTAAAAATGAGCAAAATTTGCTTTTGAAATAAAGTTGAGCTTTTTAAAAAAGATTCATGGTCTATTTGAGGGGTTGGTTTGCATCCCTTAGTTTGCTTGTTGAAGTAATTGCATAAAAAGAAGCTCTGAAGTTTCTGATGTTGAATTACATTTAACATGTGCATTGTTATCAAGCAAAGCCCCTAGCTGTTCCCTTAATTCGATTACAATCAGTTGAAGATTTGGCGATAACCTTCAAGATAAACGGACTGATGCAACTGCCTGCTCTCTGTCCAAGCCTTTCATGTTACGTGATCTGATATGAAGATGCCAACACATCTAACGTCATGGCGATGCTTATCGCAAAATTCTCATCTTGATGCGGGGCCATTAAACTGGACACAAAAAGAGCCCAGATATGGGAAGATAAAAGTGAAATTAAATGGTCATCCATTAAATCACTTGAAGATGGTCAGTTTGTGTGGTTTTCATTAGTAATTCACCCCCATTATCTGAAATAAAACTGTCTTCCACAATTCCTTCCTCTCTGATCTATAGAGCTTAATTTACAGTTTGCAAGAGGTAAACCTGACTGTAGGTATATTGTGCATAAACATTAGCATGTTTGGTATTGTAGATATAAACTTGTGTGGGAGGAAGGAAATAGTTTTAAGAAATAAACAAAATATTTTTAAAATTAAGAGAGAGGAAAAAGAAGTTTGACATTTATATAATTATATTATGATCAGATTAAAAGTAAAAGTACTTAAAATTCTCAATTTATTTTATTTTATTTATTTTTTTCATAGCCCCCCTTTTAAATTCATATACCTGTTAATTCGGGCTATAAACTTAATGATTATATGTATAAACAGAAAGGTCAATCACTCATTGAACAAATTAATAATTGAATGATTTAATCGGCTAATTGCTGATTTTGCAATGTGATTAGACGTATGTACATTAAATTGTGTAACATTAACAATTCTCCTAAAGGTTTAAATGTTTGTTTTTGTATAAAAACAACTTTCTGTTCCATTGTCTGAGATTGGTATTAATTTTTTAATAACATTCTAATCTGGTCTAAGAGATTTTTTCCTTATTTGCTAAATGTATTACTGAGTTTGTTTATCACAGATGATATCTTAAGATGGGATCTCACCTCTTATAAAGACCCCCCATAATCTAGCACTTGTCCCTCAACTGGTCAGCCATTAGATGACTATTTTATTAGGAGTTAGATGTTAAGTATATACTTATATCTCTTTTTATGGTGGAACAATGGATTCGAGATAAGGAATGACACAGGCTTTACAATGGAAACTGATTTGGGGCATTTAATCCTTGAGACAAACATAACACTTTTATGTGTGAATTTAATTAATGTCTTAATGCACAAACACACACAATTGCCTCTCCAAACTTTCTAATGCTCGGCTCTGATTGGCTGAAGTGAAATTTTAAAGATGTTCAAAAATGGGTTGAACAACCCTGTGATTTCATGGGCCATTAGAGCAATGATAGCTTGCACTTTGATCTATACTGATGTCTAAAAACTTGTCTGCGAGGATTGGGTTGATGTACTGTCAGTGAATGTATTGAGGCTTGATTATCATTCTACAATCTAATTAACGTATTCTAGAGATACTACAAACTGTTTTAGATATCGCATTATGAATTGAAATTTTTTTCAACAATTGCGTAAAGTTGAAAAGCAATTAGTGTTCCAAGGAGAGTTTTTTAAAAACAAACATGGTTGCAGATCTATTTAGAGGTAAAGTATTTTGTGTCAATTTTACTTTAAATTATTGAGATCCTCTAAAAAAGAAAATTAATTAAAATAATATCTTTCAATATGGATTTATTTTAAAAGGCAGAATTCTGATTTTTCTCTCGTTTATCCTGATAGAAAATACCTGAATGTTTGCAATATACCTTGTTTCGTAAAGCAAAACTTTGGTCTTCTTTTGTTTGAGACACAAATTTAAGCATTTCATAATTAAAAGTTAATAGTCTAAGTATTCAATAAGTGATTTACATCATCAAAAAAAACTGTTATTGGAAAAGGAAAACTTTCAAATGAGAGCTCGAGAAAAACTTTGTTTGCCATATCCCCGTGAAATACACGTGACTTCTTTAAATTATCTAATGATGTGTAGATCACGTAGGAAGTTATGTTTGATATTTAATGTGTTAATTGAATTTAAAAAAATTTTCAGTGCCAAACTGATTGAAAAACTCCCCATCATAATGCTTTTAGTCATATGTATCCGCCTCTCACTCTAGTTGGAAAATACATATATAGATATACAGAGAGAAAAAAAGTCTTTAAATTCATACAGGTTTATTCGAGAAGTATTTGTTAATGACTTCCAGTGGATAGAATTTTTTTTTTCCACAACCCAAAATGTTAGGGAGAAGAGGCCTTGGATGGCTACAAGCCTTGGGTAAATTCTTTAATTAACTGGTCATTTGAGGTTGGATTACTTTAAAAGTATGCATTTTTCATTTCCAGGAAGGATTTTTTTTTTTTTTTTGTAATTTTTAAGGTATTGCAGAATTTCAGTTTGATCTATACTTTAAGTCTTTAAGTTTCAGTACCTGGTCCAGGTGGTAGAAGTATATAGAAAGTATGAATGTTGACAGTTTTATTCATAGGTGTTAATTCTTTTTACAGATATTCCTTCCACTACAACTGTTCCACCATTAACACCTGGGACAACACAGAAAATGTCCCAAGCAGTCCACGAGAGTTTCAAGACCTTTGAGAGGGAGCAGCAGAAATACCATATCTCTAATGGTAAATAATTACAGCTTTTCCTTATAATTTTCTTCTCTGTAAATTATATATCATATGGCTTTAAGGTTTAGGCATTAAATAAATCTTTTTTAAGATGACAGGTTTCATAAATTTAAGGGTTGCTGAAGACCTGACTTTAATTGCTGTGACATTTTGATGTAGTCTTGTATTTTCAAGTGGGTCAGTAGACTTAAATGCAGGGTCTAATCCAGTCATTATGCTAAATTGGCATGGCATACTTATGATGGTTCAAGTTGCAAACAGACATGTTTTTCATTTTGAAATTATTTAACACATGCAGTGAACTAAATTTCAATGACAAACACCCTTGGTGAATTAACATATGTCTGACATTTTCAAAGAACAGAACTTTCGATCTTGCAAAGAATCATTTTAACTGTTTTTGAGATCATGATTTTTTCTTTTAAGTTTTTTTTTTTGTTTTTTGTTGTTTTTTTTATAATTTGTGTAGCTTTTTTAAAAAAAATCTTACTTTAAGTTCATAAGATATTTACCAACTACCATTAATCCACAAATGGATCAGACCAACAATTAGTCTTATTGTTAATTAATTATCATCTTGAATATTCTGGTACTCATCAGTGAGAGAAAAGATAAACACTTCAAAATTTTATCATCCCATTATTAACTCATTTATAATACAGTAGTGATTTTTCTAAATAAATGTTGAACACCATTATCTGAAATAACATGGATATGTCAAATCATTTGCAATTGGAAGTCACAACCACTTATTTTTAAAGGGTTTTTTTTTCTTGGTCCATCAAGTTTAAGATAACAAGGGTTGACTCTGCAATACATATGCATAAAAAATTCACATATATCTACTTAGTACGAAAATTCTTTTTAAAGGGAAACAAGTCATTTATCACATGCAAGTTTTCTTTCTTATCATAGGGCCATGAACCTTAATTAGCCATTCAAATCAGTTGTTGAATTTATTTTCTTAACAGATCCTGCCCATTGGTCAGAAAGTCACGTGATGGTCTGGTTGAAATGGATTGCGCAAGAATTCAACATTCTGGGCATCAACCCCGCCAATTTTTCCATGAGGGGCAAGGACCTCTGTCAACTGAAGCGTGACCAGTTCTTGGATTTGGCTCCCCCTTATTTGGGAGAAATCATGTGGGAACACCTGGAAATTCTCAAGAAAGGTGAGGGGTGTTGCTTCTATTGGTTGTTACATAAATTTCTTTTTTTTTCAAACTTCCCTGTATTTCGCATGTATAACAGTTGTAGTTGAAGATGCTAACATATTACTGTTGTTTGAAATTATCCCACTCACTTCGGTAGACATTTTATGTAAACTGTGAAGGAAAAACTTACTTTTTTAATTTCCACATCAAAACATCAGCAACAAAAAGTCTAAGATGAATTCAAATAAACTTGGCATAAGGATAATTTTACTTTATGTGTTCTCTCTAGATTTTACACATGAACACCCCAGCCTCGGTAGTGCACCTAGTAGTTATAGCGAACCTGTCTGCATGCCAGAATTCGGAGATCGCTTCCCTGCCCAAGGTAACCCATCATGGCAATTTCAGAAATGACTCCATTTAGGGACAATTTCATAACATTATAATGATAACTTGATTTGTCTGGTTTATTTGACCTTGCTCCTTGTGTGTTGTATTTATTTATATGCATGAACTGCATCTTCCATTGAAACCATTTGATAGTATTAAATATAGTTCATCCAACCAGGATTTACATTTTTTTTTTACCCCATTTTCAGGATTTGCTGGTCATGGTGGTGATAATAAAGTATCAGCTTACACAGGTCTCAGTGATGTCAAAGTCCAAACATGTAAGAAATCTCTCATTTAATTCCAAAGAAGAAAAACCTCCTGTTGTTAGTACAATCTTTAATGAAAAGCAGATGTATTCTACAAATTTTAAAAACAATTTCCCATTTGGTTTACAGGTGCATATGGAGCAATAACAGAATCCATGCAAACGCTGAATGACGTGAGCGATTCCCCAAACAGTGGAAGTTTTGACGACCACTCAGACTGCCAGAGTTTAGAGACGGTCCCTCACTACTATTCCTCCGACAACAGCCCCACCACAGAATTCTATCCTCCCATCCCTGAACAAAAATTCCAGCCCCCAGTCATACCAGACATTTGTCATGGTAAGAGTTTACAGCAATGCTTGTCGAGTTATTTATCTAAAAATTTACAGTGTTATGCAATAAGGTTATGCAAGATGTAGAAAATGTTCATTTAAAGAATGCATTTTTCAAATCTAAACACTGTGTCAAAGATGGGGCAAGATTCTCCACCAATCAAAGCCTCCAAAAATTTTGATATACCAGTATTTAAACATGAAAAAAATGAGATTAAACGTACCCTTTAAAATATTTTTTCCAGATACCCAGATGTTAAAAGAATAGAATTTCATGGCTTTTTCCCATTTAGCATAAATTTATGGACCAATTCTTGATTATTTTAGGTCAGTACATCAGGCAGGATAACCGGTACCAGCAATACAGTCAGGTCTATCAGAACCAGATGGTCCCTAGCATCAAACAGGAGTACCTGTGGTCCGACTGTTCCGAGAGCAGCCTTAATGACAGCTGGTCATCTGAGTACCGCGGGGGAATCAACATAGGGGTGTCCAGGAGCCTCCAATCTTCCCCCACAGATCTCTCCTACCCCCAGTCCGAGGTCAAGCCCAGCAACTTCCCAGCCATGGTGGGCTATTCTGGTAAGGAGTGAAGCAGGGATAAGATATTGGCTACTGATTTCATTTGAATGTTACCATGAGTGGAGGGAATTTGTGAAAAACAATATAATTTTAGTTTGCTTTTAAATTCCAATAGACTTTTTCAATATAAATGAGGTACTCATGCACTATTGCAGATCAAAATGATAAAGTTAGGTCAAATATATGATTAACAACTGTCAAATAAACCTTCTCTTATTATCAGCCTACAATAATTTTGCCAAACATTCTTAATTTGCCTTGCAAAAGAACAATGCAAGTTATCACGAAAGAGCCAATAGGGTATTTATATTGTTCATATTTAAAATTCTGAAGTCTGATACAGTCCCTGAAACCTTCTACTTTCCCATTTTTCTGTTCGCTCATCATTCGTTCACCGTTCGTTCAGTGTGCGTTAGCTCTCCATTCACAGTTTTGCGTTCACCGTTCAGGTGGGAAAGTAGAACGTTTCAGGGACTGTAAGTCAAAAAATATTTTGAAAAAAAAAATTATATGCCCCCTCCCTTTTATTTATCCCTTCATTGGTGATGTAAAGCAGTAGATAATTTCTTCACAATTAGTAAATCTCTAATAAATAAATGACATCACTTCTTTCTAAGCATATGATCATCCTAGTTTTCAGTATATGGTATAAAATGTTTGCATGCAGTATCAATTTCATAAACATAACATGAAATTGAAGTTGTCTAGAGAAATTGAGTTACGTACATACATTTAGAATTTTGTATATCATAGATTATTGACTAAAGAGTGCAACTGTTTTAAAATTTCTATGTTTACATTTCTTATATATTACAAAGATAAGTAAATTGGAAATTCCTTTTATTTTACAGGAAGTGGACCAATACAGTTGTGGCAGTTTCTTCTGGAGCTGCTGACCGACAAGAATTGTCAACATTTCATCAGCTGGACTGGGGACGGATGGGAGTTCAAACTGTCCGATCCAGACGAAGTAGCCAGGAGATGGGGCATTAGGAAAAACAAACCTAAAATGAATTATGAGAAACTGAGCAGAGGACTTCGTTATTATTATGACAAAAATATCATCCACAAAACAGCAGGAAAGCGATATGTTTACCGATTCGTGTGTGATCTGCAGAGTCTTCTCGGCTATACCCCAGAAGAACTTTTCGAAGCATGTGATATCAAACCTCAAGCTGACAAAGATGATGAGTGAGAGTCCAAGTCATTGAGGTGCTTGGAAATCAATTTTGAAGTGAGTCAAAATCACTTACCCATGATGCTTCATTTGGAAGCTCTTTTTAACCTCTGGGTTCACAAAATCCTTTTTCTAAAACCTTGATGGCACTTGTTGTGGTACTGTAGATGAGATCTCCCATTTTGTTGTAAAGCAGTAGAGTTTTCAGATGGTCATGTTAAAAAGGACTTGTGATAAAATTTCAGATGAGTTGAGAAAAAAGTCATCTTTGTGATGTTCAAGTTAAAAAGATGTGATGATATCGGTCGGGATTGTCAACAAACGTCTTTGTCACGTTGTTGTTTTTCTTAATATGTTGATCTCAGTTTTTTCAAGCTGGATGTTTTTTTCCTATAAAAATGGCATGTTATTATATTATTTTTTTTCTGAAAAAGGCCTTGAATTATTTTTGTTGATGTTTATAAAAGGCCAGGATAACTACAGCAACATTACATGTAAATAGTTATATATCTGTTCGCTTTTTCTAGGAAAGAAACTACTTTTATATTATTGCTTTATGAGCAGCAACAAATAATGAAGTGATTTGTACAGAAACAGGTCTCACATATGAAAAGATAAAAAACAAAAACTATATTCAAGGTGAAATAAAATTGCAATAGGCAGCTAGTATCTAGTGAACAGACATGTAAGTACATGTACTCTCAATAAATATGATATGCATATAATTTTTTTCATATTGTTGATGCATTCCACTGCTTAACATGGCTACCATTTGACTATAAAATAGGCACCATTCTCTTCTTTTTGCAAAGATTCTATACTTATGCAAAAAGGATGCATGCCGGCCTATACAGTCCATCCAGGCTCTTTTATGTAATACTTAAAAAATCATTTTTTTTTCCATTCATGAATTTTTCTATTCCTTTGAGAAGGATGCCATGTAAAAGCAATACATTTCGTGCACTGCTTGCTCTTTTATTATATGTGCATGTTATTTATGTGTATATATTGAGGCCTTTCTGGAAAAATCATACACAGATTTGTTACATTTTGATATATTTTACATATAGTGCTGAGATAATAATAATAATGATGTTGTTAGCATCAGAGTTGTTGTGTATTATGTTATTATTATGAACAGAAGCTGTTTTTTATTAATCTAACATTAAATGTAGGAGAAAGATTTCAGTTAGGTTTTATTGCATATTTTTAGACAGTGAAATTTTAAAGATAATTCTGTACAGGTCCTTGATCATTTTTATTGTTACCCTAGTCAAGTATTTTTTCTTCCTCTGCATATATCTTGAAAGATGTGACAGAAAAAAATCCAAATGTGTTCATTTTTTTTTTTAATTTCATTTCTCATGTTTTAATATGAACAAAGGAAAGTGTTTACATTTCTAGAGATTTTAGTGGCCTGGAATGTTTCTAGCCACTTTATTTTTGTGTTCATTTGCATTTTTTTTTATGCTTTTCATTTTTCATGAAAGCATTGAAAAAAAAATTCTCAGTGCAATTGTCTTTTTAATTCAAAGATCTTTTTAGTTTTCTCCCCTGAAATATATTAAAAGATGTGTTCAATTTTTAGATATTTTTATTCTATTATCACTCATTTTTATTTGCCTTCTCATTTTATTCCCTTAAGAAATTCAAAATTATTTGAAAGAATCAAAAGCTCTTATTGTTACAGTAGTTTAATTGTACATTCTAGTGCCTTAAGTCATATTTCTTTCCAAAAGCAATTTAAAAAGCATCGGTCAAAATGAATGTTGAGGTAGTATAATCTCAGTCATTTTAAAAAAAAAAGTGAAACAAGAAATGTAGAAAAGGAGAAGAAAAATTTCAATGTTTCTTTGACAAAACTTTTTTAAAAAAATGTTGAAGGTTGTGGTAAAATGAGGACTTAACAACTAAAAAAAAAAAGGTCAACATTTTACATTGTTTCACAAAAAATATAGACTGCAGTTTTGAATCAAATTACCATATATGACTATTGTTCATTTTACTTTGTACATATTTTATATGTCTTGTTGATCAAAGTCAATTTGTCTGTACAGCTTAGCCACTGATATTCATACTTTATATTTGATTAAATCATTTTGTTATCATCTTGTGCCTTGAAGGCAAGAAGAACTTGCATTTTTGTAACCAAAAAAAAAAATCATAAATATGCTTCTTAACAAGTTATATTGTTTAATTTATGGAATTCAATGTCTTGATTTCATTATATTGTTACAAGTTGCTTTTTTATTCAAATATATGAAATTGTATCAATATTGTAGATATTTGTAAGAAAGACAAATAAAAACAAATAAATTATATAAAAATGTTTGCCTCATATGTTAACTTGGCAGTTTTTTTATGTGAGGTCTAGAAATCGTATAAACCCCTATTGTTTTTTAATTATCAGGAAATAAGGGCCCCCTGTACAGTGATTAAAATCATCTAGAATCGTATCAAAAGTCTGCCAAAATTTGAAGAAAGTGAAAATGAAACTTGTCTATTATCCTATTTCTCGGCTGAAAATGAATCATTTAGCATAATTTGGGTAGATTATCTTCACTTAAAGTAAAGTTAGACATATTAATTTTAGTGTTTTTTTGTATTTTTTTTTCAGTTTTTTAACTCACCTGAGCCGAAGGCTCAAGTGAGCTTTTCTGATCACATTTTGTCCGTCGTCGGTTTGTAAACTTTTCACATTTTCAACTTCTTCTCAAGAACCAATGGACCAAATTTGGCCATTAAAAAATCTTCTTCTCAAGAACCACTGGGCCAGGAAAGCTGAAACTTATGTGGAAGCGTCCTTGGGTAATGTAGATATTAAATTGTAAAAATCATGACCACCGGGGTAGGGTGGGGCCACAATAGGGAATCCAAGTTTTACATTGAAATGTATAGAACAAATCTTTAAAAATCTTCTTCTCAAGAACCACTGGGCCAGGAAAGCTGAAACTTATTTGGAAGCATCCTGGGGTAGTGTAGATTCTAAAATATTAAAATCATGTAAGGGGAGGGGTAGGGGGGGCACGATAGGTATAACAAGAGGGGAAATCTGGTAAAGAACTGCATCACCCAAGTTACTCAGGTGAGCGATGTGGCCCATGGGCCTCATGTTTTTAAAGTTGAAATATGATATTAAATATTAGAAAGAGAATACCAAAATAACCGCCCCTTTTTGCAATTTTCTAAGTGCCTGGGGCGGTTAATAGGGATTATACGGTAATCATAGTGACAGATCTCTTTATATTGAACTCAATGGGACTGAGAAAATACCTTGAGTATCCAAGAAATTGAGATTTACAGGGTAAAAGAATAAAGTGGTTGGGACTTTCAGAAGAGTGTGACATAGCCATGGTATTTTAAATATCAATATTCAAGATTCCAGAGTTCAGCTGTATTTGAATTATTGAAGCATTTTACCATGTTCAAGTCACTTGAATTGTGAAGTGAACAAGAAAGCTTGGCATTGATTGGTCAGATGAGAATTTCCCTGCATACCCAACATAAATGTGAATGAAAAAAACTCAATTCCAGAAAATAAAACAGAAACTGAAATATCTACTGAGCAGAATCATTAATTTTGATGTTATAGAGATTGTTTCTCATTGAATGTTAATTAAGCTGGACTTCAGTAATGCATGCTCTTGGCCTTAAAGATATATGAGATCATATTAGCTTTGATGTGCATCAAGTCATTTGCATTTGTAACCTCACAAATATGGATCAGACGATCTGATTAATTTTTAATAAATAAAATGTGAGTACTTTTGACCTAGAAAATTTGAACTAAAGCCTAAATCATTTTTATTAAGCAATTTTGTTTGGACATACATTGAAATCACTCATCTCAAAATCAGAATTCTTTGACTGATTCGTTGTCCTTGGCCAGGATATAATTCTGCGGATTCAAAATCATTATTATATATTCTTGATCTTAAATCATATAAATTATGGCACACACACTAAATCAAGTGTGACTCTAAGAAATTGTGGACTAAAACAGTTCTGAAAAAAGATTAATGACCTTGGCCCTTAAAATGACCTTGAAATAACTTTAAAAATTATACATGTACGAACATTATTTTTTTAAGAATCATGAACATAATACAACTGTGAACGAGAGTTTAAAAAGTCTTCTTCAATCTTGAAATATGAATAGGTATTTCAAGTTTGGAAAATTATCTTGTTTTTGGCTTATCAAAGTTCCAAGTTTTTTTTTTATTATTATTGAAAAGGTAAGAAACCCCACCCCCTCCTACTTTCAAAAACAATACTCTGACTCTGTATCTGGGTAAAGCATTTATTTTTCTGGGGTCAATTTTCCTGTTTTTAGGAAAAATAAATGGCTCAAGGGATTTTATTTCGTTGTGAAAACCGTGACGTCGAACAGTAGGAAAATCGTGACGTCGAACAGTAGAACAGTTGGATTTTTTCACCCACTCGGTAAAGTATTCCGGATTTTAATGGTTTGGACGGCAATATTTGACTACTTTGATATTTTTTTATTGACCTGATATTGACCTGATGGAAATAAAAACTTATAAAATCTCCGTGTTTTCTGGTGTTTATCGTTATGTTTTGGTTTTGCTTATATTTCTGGGGTATAGGACAGATATTTAGGCATAATTATTTGAAAAAATATTGGTATATTTATGCGTAACGAGCCATAAACTACTGAAATGGCTTGACCTGATATTTTTTTTTATTGACCTGATATTGACCTGATGGAAATAAAAACTTATAAAATCTCCGTGTTTTCTGGTGTTTACCGTTATGTTTTGGTTATTCTTATATTTCTAGGGTATAGGACAGATATTTAGGCATACTTATTTGTAAAAATATTGGTATAATTATGCGTAACGAGCCATAAACTACGGAAATGGCTTGACCTGATATTTTTTTAATGACCTGATATTGACCTGATGGAAATAAAAACTTATAAAATCTCCGTGTTCTCTGGTGTTTATCGTTAAGTTTTGGTTATTCGTATATTTCTAGTGTATAGGACAGATACATTAGGTATGTTTGGGTTATAAAATATCGGTATAATTATGAGTACGTAACGAGCTGTAAAGTAAGAAAGTGTATTGACTTGATATTTTCCACTGACCTGATAGAAATAAATTTTCCGAATCGTGATGTTTTGGTTATTTTTATATTTTTGGGGTATAGGACAGATATTTTAAGCATAATTATGTTTAAAAATGTTGGTATAATTATGTGTAACGAGACATAAACTAGGAAAATCGTTTAACCTGATTTTTCCGTTGACCTGATAGAAATAAAAACTTATAAATTCTCCTTGTTTTCTGTGTTTGTTGTTCTCTTATTCTTATTCTTTTATTTCTGGGGGAAAGTGCAGATAAGTATATAGATAGGTATGTCTATAGTATGATGTTTTTCTTTAAAGATATTGTTATAAATCGGTTCAATAGTAAACTATGTGAAAGTAATGACCTGATATTTTTATTGACCTGATATTTTCTATGAATGGTGTATTGGATAATAACTCAAAGCATTGTATTTGTATACATTTCATAAACTAATGTACACCTTTATTGTTAAGTAAAAAAAAATATATCTTTAAAAATTGTATTTCAATATTTGTATTAAATTTTTGGAAATTAATTTTTTTTTAATGTCAATTATTTTCTGAAATGGATAGATGTGTAATCATGGCTATTTGCATAGAACTAAATATTATGAATAATAATTCTTGTAAAAACTACTTTTTACTATCATTAATCATAGTGTGCAGGTTAGTATTTTTTTTTTCAAAACTCGCAAACTCATTAACTAATTGTTTATGGATTGATTGATACAGTGATCAGCATAATCAAGAAACCATATAAAAAAAAAACTGCCGCTTGATTGAAGTTGCAAACAAAAATTTTAACCTCATTAAACTCTCTCTATTACATATTGCTTTATTATTAATGGTAAGAATAATTAGTAATTAAGAATAAACAAATTCATTGGCGTTTTTCAATTCACGTGGGAGGAAATAAATCTAATTATCGTCTTAAAATACTATAAGGCAATAAAATATCTAGATTTTTCATTTCCTCTTGATTTTTCAAGATGAGTACTGTGTGTTATCGTATTTATCTTGCTTTTGTCGCAGCGTGCAATTTCCTATTTTTTAAGTAATAAATAATTTCAATATTTATCATTGTAATATCATCGTTCTGGAATGAGTATAAGTTCTGCTGTTCGGGGTCATATTTGACAAGTTTGGCTTGCTTACATGTAATTGAATAAATTTTTGAAACTCAAAATATGGATTTTATGATCGTAAAAGATTGATAATAACAAAGATATATTTTTATGTCTTATTCAGAATTTGTTAAATATATTTACTTTGGTAGTAAAAATTTAATACTATCTTGACGAGAGTGTCAAAGGGTTTCTCTCCTGCTGTTTGTATATACACACTGCCTAATCGATAGGGTATGTATATACAGTGATAAGATATACACACCTGTGTTCTGACAATTAACAATGCCCCCACATGTTTTGATAAGCAGAGGAATGTGAAATTAATTGAAAATTTATTAAGAGATTAAACAATGTTTCTCTCTATAATTAAGAAAAAAAATGATTCCATAAACACTGATAGTAAAAATTCTTTGTGATCATTACAATATTGGTGAAGTTTTCTATATAAAATTCTTTTCACTTTAGTAAAAAATAAAAATAAATATGTTAAGTTTATAACGATCTAGATTCTCCAATCTATATTATTCACTTTCTTTTATTTGGAGATTCTTCACACGGTTTAATTGAAAAATAAAATCCATATATTCCCTACATGTATGGCTAAGAGTTCTTATCTGAAAAAACACTATCAAGAT